CGGAGCGGGAGCGGCACCCACCGTGGGGCTGGGAGCCTGCCGCTGGGATTTCGGGGGCTTCCGGAGCGACAGGCGTACAAACAGCACGAGCAGCGAGAGGCTAGAAGGCACGGGAGCAGGCGGGCGAAGGGGAGCGGCCAGGCGAGGCGCGAAGGCGCACGGAGCGGGGCCTGAGGAGTCCCGAGGCCTGGGCTGTCACTCCCACGGCCAGACCCGGGCGGGCCGGATACGGCCGGGACCGCAGAGGTTGTAAATCGCGCACTTTCCCAGCAGGGAAGCGGGTCCTACCACACCAGCAGGCGGTGGCGTTACGTCACTGGCTGGCCCCGCCTCCATGGTTAAAGATTTAGGTGTCTATAGGAGGCCTGTCGCACAGTGAGTTAGCAATAACGGACCTAGCTCTAGAAGTGCAAGGAGTGCCTTTCTTACGATTGTGTGCTCTTTGGCTTTTCCTTTGAGGCATCTTTCCAGCGTCTTCGCTTGGCTCCGCTCCTCATTTTTCTTCAGGCAGTATCTAGGGCAGGCCCTCCCCGCGGCGAGGGGCGGGGCGGCCCTGGGTGGGGCGGGGTCCTGGATGGAGTGCGTCGCGCTCGGGGCCGCGCCGGGTAGCGTTTCTTTCCAGTGCCTGAGGCGGCTCTGGTCCCGAGAGCCTTTCGTCAGCTCCACGGGCACCTCTGTGCACGGATGGACCCGCCCGGACCCGGCGGGAAGCGGCCTGGCAGGCGGCGGCCCCGGCAGCACCAGCAGAGGCAGGGCAGGGCCGAGGCCGCGGGCCCCTGAGGTGTGCGTGTCCGGCGGGCCCGGCGAGACCATGATGCCGGGCGAGACCCACTCGGCGGCGCCCGGGACGGCGGCGGACCTCGCGCGGTGCCAGGGCTGCGCCTCGCTGCAGCAGGTGCGACGCCTCCCGGGACGAGGGCGCAGTCCTCCGCTCGGGACCGTGGGGCCCAGCGCCTCCAGCCCTTTCTCCGAGGTTGTTTAGGGATCCTCCGTTGGTTCTGTTTCGGCTCGAAACTTGAGAGTTCTTTTACAGAGCTGCGGTCGTGGAAGGGGGTGGAGCGGGCGAGGCGCCCTCCGCTTCCCGCTGCAGGCTTCCCAAGTTGATTTTTGGGGTTGTTGAGTGACAGTTGAAATGTTGAGTGACGTGACCTCTCTGAGGCTTTTGGTCGTTGGCCCATCCTGAGTACGGTGTTTGTTACTTGGAGGCGTGATCCTCTGTGACACGTGGGTTGTCTGTGTCATTTTTTCCTCAAGGTTTGCGGAATGCATTTCGGTTCATATCAGATGTTCCGCCCCGAGCTTAATTTTTAAAGAAAGTCAGGCAATTTATCAAGTCAAATTTCCTGTCAGTTTGATTAATCTGCTAATGGCGTGCAGAGACTGGAAGTTTCAGACATCTGCGTGGGCTATTTTTTCCTGTTCGGAATTGCTACAGTCTGGCTCTGGGTCTTATGGGAGTCGGGAAAATAGTCCTACGTATTCATTTCCAGCGACCCTTCTAACTACCTGATAATTACAGTCTCAATTGACATCGTACTGTCAGTGTCTTTAGTTCTCCGCTACGTGGTGAGAGTTCTAGGCATTCTGGATATTGCGGTGAACTAGGTCGGTGCGATCTACTCTCACAAGTAAGATGTGCCTAGGTTTGAGGGAGACTCTACAAGCCTTTACCTGTTGGGAAGGAAGTAGAGAAGAATGTTAAGGCAGCGAGCTTTTGCTGGGTGATCAGGTGGAGGTATTTTGGGGATGATTGAAAGAGTACAGCAAAAGAGAAAATAGCAAGGAGGTTAACAGGTGGAAAGGAGCCGGTGTTGATTAAGGAGTCTCTGGTAGGCAGGACACTCGTTGGCGGGAGCATGGTGCAAAAATAGTTGGAGATGAGACCAGAAAGGAATGCAGACGTGATAGTTGTGAGAAGCTTGGTTTTCTTTTAAGTACAATGTTTATGAACTGATTTCATGCATTTTAAGGTTTGGGACCAGGAGAGGGTGGAAATGTGCTGCTGGTGCAGGTAGAAAGGAAACTGAATTAGTCGGCTATGGAGTGTAGGTATAACGTGCCCCTCCTCCAACTCAGAATCCCAAGTAGAATTTTCCAGAATTTTTAATACATTGTGTTTGTAGTTTGAGGCAGTTCTTTGAGTCAAACATATTTATTGATCACCTGCTATGAATTAGGCCCTACAATTACTAGTGTGTGAAAAAGACATTTTTGAGCTCTTGGGGCTTTCTATTATAAGAAGTAGTAAGACAAAACTCATTAGTTATGTCAGAAGGTAATATGTGCATTGGTGATAAGAGCTGAGAAGGGAAGGAGAAGGAGGAGGTAAGAAGCTGTTGAAATTTAGAGTCCTGGGAAAGTTATATCTGAGCAGTGGGGTGAGAGATGGGTCTCTTAATATTGAGGAGAATCCCAGAGGAAGCCTCAAGTGTGTGGGCCTGAAGCAGGAGCCTCCTGGTGTACTGAAGCAGAACAAGAAGGCTAATTAGGCTGCAGTGAATTGAGTGTTCTAGGGCTGATGAGGGCAGAGGGGTGAGATGTGGGTTGGCTACTGTAAGGGTTGGAGCTTTTGTGAATGAGGCTGAATTATTGGAGGTGTTTGCACAGAACTCTTGGTGTCACTGTTTTTCAGCAGTGGATCTGATCTGGCAAATGTGTCTACCCATGGTGGTCTCCATCCTGTAAGTAGCCACTGTGTTTGTTCTTCAGGTTGTTTAGGCCAGAAACTAGCTGCTATCCTTGGTGTGCCTGTTTCCCCTCACAACGTGAAGTCCTCAGCTGGTTGTCCTGGATCTACGTTTCTTATCCACCTTCGTTTCAGCTTCTTCACCACTTCCACCTTTTGAAATGCTTTGGTCTGAGATTATTGTACAAACTTCCGGAGGAGTCTCTGTCCCTCACTCTACACCACATTCCACTGTTGGTTCTCAGAACAGAGATAAAAGTAATCATGTTAATTCTCTGCATCTAGCAATTGCTAAACTTCTGAAAGCAGCAAATTCATAAAATGCCAGGCTTTGAGAACTTGTTTACTTGCTCAGCTCTGTCCTTGAGGTGCAAGAGCAAATATGTCAAATAATGAATATGGCTATCCAGAGGGCCTTCATTTGCGGACCTTTGATGAGGATGCACCATTGCGTTTCAGTTTTTGTTGCCTGGAATTGCAGTGCCTTTTGGGGGGAAAAGGTAGTCAGCTGGCAACAGTCTCTCTGGGATGGTTCTTTAGTTTTCTGATGAGGCTGAGAGAGAAAAGGTTTCTGGCAAATGATAGAGAACCCCTGATGGTACTGACCATGAAGTTTTGTGCCTGTTTTTGCCTAGGTTAAGGAGTGGTGGAGTTTTTGCATAGCTGTGTTTATTTTATAAGTAGGTGGTATAGTGCAGGGTGAATTGAGAAGGAACATCTAAGTAAGTTATTTTACTGACACTAGTGATAATAAAAGCCTTAATTAATTGACATTTCCTAGGTAGAGAATAAAGAAGATAAAGATTCTGCATGTGGGAAACTGACAGAAGGAAATGGTATCAGGAAAAGTGGAAGGTTCAGAGATTTAAATCTTGATTCACCTTGAAAACTGTGATGGAAGAAGGCGAACAAGCTGGCTAAGATGGGAGGATGGGGGGCGTGTGGGGCTGACCTTTTGCATTGGCTCCAGGACTGGGAGTTTTCAGCCAGTTTTACCTTTGTTTGTGGAGCACAAGCCTCTGCAGTCTCCTCAAATACTTGCAAAGAAGTAGAGGAGGCCAGTTTGCATAAGCACTGAGTTTATCCTAAGAATTTTATGGGGAGAACGTGGGGATGGGAAGATCAGGGAGCATGTTCTGTTACTTAAAAGCAGCTTTGAAAACAGCTGGAGTCAGTGGAGTAAGACCAGCTGGCTGATGAGTATCCTTTGATGAAACTGAGATTGGAATGGTGAGAAAAGGAGAAAGAGAGAGTTGAACAGGGGTGTGCTATGAAGGGAATCAAGATTGGAAAGTGAGAATTGAGGAAAAATAATTGCATTGCTTACTTGGTAGATGGATAATTAGTCATCTTTAGGAATGGCATTTCTGTATTTACTGTTTATTACCACAGCAAGTGTAGTACAATGTTGTACTTGGGTTAAACTTTTGCATGAGAGAAACTAAAGTGGTTACATGCAGAGAGAAGATGTCCTGCCCAGCAGCTTCATGTGCTGAAAGTTACTGGCCTTGGAAACGGTATACAAGAAACACATAGGAGTTTTGCTGTGCGTGCTGTGACTTCATTTTGACTGGTAACATTAAGTTAACAAGGCTGTGTGCTGAATTACACAAACTTTTACTTGCACTGAAAATTTTTCTTTCATTTTCTATTCCCCCCTTACTTACTTACTTTCTTTTTAATTTTATTCATTTATTTATGTGTGTGTGTGTGTGTGTGTGTGTGGCGCCAGCTCAGTCCACCAGGGGGCGCGGCTGGCTGGCATGTGGTGCTGGGGGATTGAACCGTGGTCCCTGTGCTCTGCCAAGCTTGTTCTAAGTAGGTGCTTTAGACCACTGAGCCATTTCACCAGCCCCCCCCCCTTACTTTCTTAGTTAAAGAAATGCAGTAGTTGAGACACAGAGATGCGGGTAAACATTTTAACGTTGCCTTTGCTGAGATCATTGATTTATGGAGAAGTGGATAGCCTGAGCATGTTTCATTCACCCCTTCATGGTCTTATAAATCACCTTAGCTCTCTGATTATAGTGGCTTGTTACTCATCTGTACTTCAATGTCTATGTGTTGCAGAACTTTGGTAAGGCTATTGAGATAACTCAGCAGACTAAGTGCCTGCTTAGGCAAGTGCAGGAACCTGGGTTCAATCCCTGGTGCCTCATGCCCTACCAACCCCGGGCGAGCTGAGCCTGTGACCAAGTCTGGGTGTGGTCTAGGTGTGGTCCTGCACACCTGTAATCCCAGTGCTGTGGGATCACTATGAGTCCGAGTTGTGTAGTGAGGCCCTGTACCAAATTCAAAAATTAAAAAAAAAAAAACAAAAAAAAAACAAACTATGGTGATGTTACATAAATTAAGCAAGTCTTACATTGCATGGTTTTAAGTCAAGCAAGTTAGCTGAAGTAAGTCATTTTATTTTGATGGAGGGCCCATTTTACTCTACTTCAGTGCAGAACAAAATAACTGTACTCTTGTAAATCCAGATAACAGTTTGAAACTGTTTAACCTGTGTAACTAGGTTGAATTTGATCAGTTTAGTGTTTGGCTGCCCTGGGGACAAGGGAGTTTATTTTTTATAAAAACTCGGTGGGTTTGCATTGATAGTTCCTAGAAGTTTGAACTTTGTTGTTTCTAACTTGAAAAACATATTCTTTTAGACATATGGATTTATAAATCATGGTATGACAAGGAATGCTTCTAAAATTGTAATTCATTTAGTGATCATTGATGTGTTTGTGAATGGCATGTGGCTTGGCATACAATCATGAGCAGAAGAGGCATGGACATTTTTTTTTCTCCTGGGGTTGTAGTTGAAAGAGGAAGCAACCTTCCTGTACCTGTAATATAATAAATTTTGGTCGTTGAGGTCACACAGGTATAGGAAGGGCAACTTTGAGGATCTTCTGTGACCTCTGAAGGTTCACAGAAGTGAATCTCAATTCAAGTCTGAAAAAGGGTTTGCAGCTAACCAAGAGGGAAGAGATGGGGAGGGCAGTGTTGTAGGTTGAGGAAACAAGCTGTAGAAAGGCTTGGAGGAGTGAAGTGGCTTATGGTAGAGGGAGCCCCAAGTGAAGTGTAGGGTGTATTTCCTTGAAAGATGCATACTTCCTGACTCCTTGTGTCAACAGCGCCCAGCCGTTCTCTCCCACACATATAGTCCATTCACATTTTGCCTTCCTGCCTAAGAATAGCATCCTCCTGGTTAAGCACCT